ACCCTTTACTCCGTGGTGGTACGTGTCCCATTGTGCCCGCGGTGGAGATCGCCCGGGCTTCAGGCCCCGGGCCAGGTGCACGCGAGCGTATCTCGGACGCGGGACAGATCCGTGATCGTCGATAATGCGACGATCGTGGCTCACCGCATTACGCGGTCTTCGATCAACCGATCCGGGAAATCTGGCGAGTCACAGCACGGCCGACCGAACAAAAGCGCGCGTGGGCGAGCTTTTGATGCCCAAAATCAAAATTAACGAAAACGAACAATCGTGGGCGTTGCCTTTTAATGTCCAAGCAGACTTATATTAATTTTTAAGGAGGACACGCTTATAGAAACTTAGTTTCATTGAGTGAATCTCGCGGCGAATTGGGTCCTGCGTTTAGGATGGGGCCCGTGCATCGAGAGAATGGCTCGTTAGGCCGTGGCCGATCTTCGGAGGGATGGACAAAACAATCTCTGCCGCGGGAGAGGCACAGCAACCTGTTACCCGGCCCTTATTCCGCTGCTTAAGGTGGCGTGCACAACAGATGGCCCGCGGTCGGGCCCCGCAGATTCCACCTGCCGGACCTCTGGGCCCGATTCGCTAGATTCTTCCTCCGTCGCGGAGATTCGGGTCGGTGCATGGGCCGAGGAGGCGGGTAACGGACACGCTTAAATCAGCCGGAACGACTGTAGCTCGTATCTAAATTGGCCCGGCTATGAATTTATTCGCGCGTAAAAATCGACGGTGCGCCGCGCTCCTCGCGCCGGGGCCCGGGCCTTAATGATCTCTTAACGCTCGTTCGGGGTGCCTGGGAGACGGAGATGCTATCGTCGGCTCTGTTACGGGGCCCCTCCCTGATTAACGGAGAATAAAAAGGCCCGTGAAAGTGTTATCGTTCGCGCGTGGTCGATAGAATTTCTGGGCCCACGTCCCGCCCGGAATATTCATCCGCGATCGCTTCATTTCGGGACTTCTTCGACGGGTTCGCTGGTCTCCTCTCGATTCTGAAACAGAAAAACAATCCAGTTCGTCAGTGTGGTAGAAATAACAAATTGCACTGTGAGAATTATTACGAGTATTCGATATGTGGTGACGAATTTGTTCCCTTACATGATCATAAGTTCTTGGTATTCTCTACTATATTTAATTTTATTATATTGAGGAATAAACTTTTGTTTTCTTGTAGATAAAACTAAAAATATTCTTCGAACGATTACCAGATTGGAGGCAAACCGAGATTCTATCGTCGTTGAGGTTTCAGTCCTGGAATGTCTTAAAATTTCGAAAGTGTCGTACCTTCCCAAAATCTGTACAGCCCGGATTCGACAGATTCGTCCGATTTGGCACGGTGGACAGGTGCTCGTTGCTGGATCGCGTACGCGCGCGTGCAAGAAAGTATGGAAGCAAAAGCTACCTCGGCCCCTGGGCTTTTATGGCGACTGGTCCGATCGAACAGGTGCGCCAGTGCTGCGTGTATATACGCACAGGTAAGAGGTTCCATTATTCCGCGACGGTGTGTACGGCTCGGAAATATGCCGTGCAAAGAGTCCCCCGGCGAAGAAAAGCGGCGGTGTAACGCGACGCTGGACGTCGACAAAAGGTCGTAACGTCGCCGGGGCCCGTGAGACGGAATGAATGGGCCCTCGGTGCTGCGAGCTTTTTCGTTACAAAGGGAACGGGGTCGTGGTCTTTCCTTCGTTTCGTGAAAATTCCGTGCCCCGGAGTGACGCAGGTCAACGACTCGTCGGGGGCTCGAAGCCAGCTTTCAAACTCGACGATGTAATTATGAAGACTGTTCCTCACGAAAGTGATCACTTTTGTATCTGAGAGGGAACAGAAATGTAGATCTAAAATATAGGGGTTAAAAAAAAATAAAAATATTTTTGAATTTGCGATAAAGATGACATTATATTTGAGGAATTAATAACCGATGATTATGAATCAGTGGTATTTATATAATTTGTACGAATCTTGACAACAATTAAAAGTGTTGCAACGATGCGGTCGATGACTGAACGTCCTTTGATCGCGCAATAATGTATCAAAAATTATTGTACCGCTACAAAGTATGCATCAAAGCGTTTCCGGTTCCTTTTGACTTTCATCGACAGTTCTGGCGCCGCGTAGTCGCTGTCCAAATACTCTCGGCCTCGAATCAAGGTGGAATTTGTATTACTAGTCGAAACACACATCAAAAGGGCTGCCGGCTGAACGAACGAGAAACTTTTAACGGATTTCACAGCGATCAAAAATAAACAAAACTTCATTCGACCAATTCTAAAGCCCAACTGCAATTTATTCGAACAAACAGTCGAACGGTTTGGATTTAACTTCGTAAATGAAACTTTTATTTCTATCTTAACGAGCAACGGTTTGTGCCGGAGCATGAAAACTACGCGCCACATGCGTCGCGTATCTTTTCCCGGTCGCCAAGTTAATACTTGCGGTTAGTGCAGCACTGTATCATTTTACGTGCATTTAGCCGTGCCTGAATAATTCCGTTTACGTATGTACATTCAACTGTAATATAATTGTATACGTTTACTACGTTGCCCTAGGCGCGCACCTGTTTACTTTTTCCCTTTCTAACGATATGATTCAATGATCTGCAACTTCTGACTTCGTGTAATCCTCTTCGAAAACAGGATTCACGCAAATGACAAATTTTTAAACAAAGCTTTTACCAAAACAACGACTCTAAACGGTGATCAAGATTAATAATTTAATGTGTATCCGTTTGAAAATATTGAAAACTGAAATGAAACTAAGATTAATTCAAGTGCAATCTTCCTGTCAGGCTTCTTTACGTTAAGGAAAGGAAAGTATAAATGTTAGTTCTCTTCTCACTGTTGAACATATGTATTCATCGTTTGGTTAACATTGTAAGTACACAAAGAAATTAAACGATCGGATCGACGCGACGTCTAAACGCTGGTTTAACGAGAAGCCTGGAGCCAAATATTTAACGGCCTGATACTGTGACGAGGGGAGAGAATTGGATCGTTCTGCGATTCGGGACACCCATATGGACGTGCCCGGTCGAACAAAAAGCTCGGAATCGACGCCACCGGTCGTCGGGTACATGGCAGAAGCGCGTGGGACTTAATACGCGCAGGTAGGCCATTGCTGGCCAATGAATTGAACGCGCTTTTGCGCGCCATATGTTGTTTGCTTCGCTAAAAGTCCTTTGTGCGACGTGTCGCGTACTAGTGACGCCGCGCGGATAAACGTGCGAACGAGCCTACGGGGATAAAGACCGCGATAAATACGGTAGCGCGCATTGTGGAAATCGTGTGCCACTCCCGATCGTCCATTAATTCTACGCAAACTGCGTTTAAGAGCGTTTTGCATAACGAGAAATTTATTTTACCATTAATTAAGACCTCGATATTATCCTTGATAAATTTTGTATATGCTGAAGATTGAAACGCAAAATATTAAAATCTCTCTAGAATACTTTGAAATAAATATAGAAAATATTGTTAAATTCGCGCATGCTATCGAGAAAATCTTCTGTAATAAATTGGGAATATAGAAAAGAAATTTCTGTAAAATGTAATTCGAATTTAATTAAAGTATGTTAAACCAGGAATTAATAATATCATGAGGAAAGGAATTTTTTACGGTTTTGGTTCGAGGACATCGGAATCATAACATCGGTGTAAGGTTTAAAAACTCCTAGTAATTTATTTCGTATAAAATATCTTTATATATAGGTGATATCTGTATCTCAATAGTAGTTTACTTTCTTTACAAAAAAAAAAAAAAAACTAGAAAGAGTGGTACTCGCCCTGAGCCGTTCGCCTCGTTTTAATTACACGCGCGGAACGCTTAAGTTTACGCGACGGCGGCTCGATTATTCGTTATATCTCTTTTTTCGAGTGACATCCCCGCGGAGAACACCAAAAGACCAGGTCGGAGAAATCTCCTCTCGCAGCGAGTCTCTCGTTTTTCCTCGCATATTATTGTACAATGACTAGTTTGTTCGAGTAACTTACAGTGATTTACAAACGCATAAGAAAAGTACAAAACGGAAAGGCAAAAGAAAAATAAAATAGCAAGCTCTCTCTCTTCCTCACGCACGCGGGCACGCATACACTTCGTTCTCGAGTTTATCGAGAAAGCAGAAAAAAAAAAAAAATAAAAAAAAATAAAAGAAAAACATTCAGGCACCGGACGATCATTAAATACTTTTCTGTCGTTCCGTCTCGTTCCGTCCGCGGATGGCGAATTATAATACTTCGTTTCATGCGTGCCTTAACAGCTACATCGTTTATTATTTACAATCGTACGAGACGCTCGCGCGTGGCACGATCTTGAATGGCACTTTGGTGCACGGTACGCACGACTCAACAAAGACTCGCGCGCGTTTTCTTCCGTTCGAACCGGAAACGCTACGAGAACCGACGCTGGACGACGCTCGATCTCCTCGATCGTCTGGGGCTCTCGTGTTTCTCGCAACCCGAATCGAATCGAAAAGAGAACATATAATCGACAAAATAAAAGGAAACAAAAATAATGTGAAAACGCATAATAATGGCACGGCAGCTTCACGGGACCGCGTCAAGCGGTGGCTTCGACTCGAATTTTCTCTCGTAAACGCGGGGGACGAGTTTCGTCGATTCCACACCGATCCATCGTCCTAAGTACAATCGAACACGATTCTCGATTATTCCGTCACACGCACACACCGACTATATTACAACGATACCGCGAACGCGAGAAAATGCACAACCATCGGGATTTTGTCGATCGAGACGGGGCAGTTGGATCCAGTTTCTCCAAAATGCGTCTCGTTTGAAATTCAGACGCTGCGCCACAGGGACGTGAATTCCAATCGAGAGAGATTATTTATCGCGTAGAAACTGGACCGCGTGTACAGCCCCGTCCCGTCCTACTTCTAATTCGTTTGTACTCCGATCAACGTAAGGCACTTCTTGATCCGCAATAGATTAGAAAGGAACGTACGAAGGAAACCGAATTCCCCGTTAAAACGATGACACACCCACGCCATCTCAGCATCCGTAGCCCATCGGTACGGCGACTCCAGGGCAGCCGCCCTCCTGGTGCTTCGTCAACAGCGACATTCTGCTGAAGGTCTTGCTGCACGAGGCGCACGAGTACTTCTTCACGTCGCTGTGCGTTTGCAAGTGCGCCCTGAGGTTGCTCCTGTCGGCGAACGCGCGATTGCAGTGCTGACAGCTGAACGGTTTCTCGCCGGTGTGGGTCCTGATGTGTCCTTGGAGCAGCCAGGGCCTGGAGAACGCCTTGCCGCATAGGTGGCACTTGCAGGGCAGCGTGTGCGTCCTGATGTGCATCTTAAGCGCGCCCAGACTGACATACACCTTCTCGCAGTATTTGCACGAGAATGATTTCTTCGCCTGTCCCTCGGCGGCGGCGCAGTGGAACTGCTGGTGCTTCGAGAGTCCCGAGTACGTGGAGTACGATTTGCCGCAATCGGGGCACTGATACCTGGGCGACGTCGACGAGGACGAGGACGTGGACGAGGTGGAGGACAGAGACACCGTGGAGCCGCTGGTCGGTCCGGTTTTCTCGATCTTCGGGTTGACGATTGTAGGGCCCGTCGACGTGCTACCGGCCGACGATCTTCCGCTGTCGCTTCCGGGCGAGGACAGATCCTCAGGTGTGACCGGTGGTGGTGATCGCAGAGATCCCGATCCCAATGAGCTGGTGGGCGACAGGCCACAGTGGTCGGGGCTCGGCCAGTGAGCGTAACTCCTGGCGATCGGCCGCTGAATCGTCGGGCATGTAAGCGCGGCGTGCGGCGGCGGTGAAACTGACGGATGATGCTCGGGCGACGAGTGAGGGTACGCCGGCATCGGATAAGACGGGTACAGCTCCGCGCCAGCGTGATGATAACGGTGATAAGCGGCCGGATAGGGCAGATAGTGCGGCGGGTACAATGGCGGGGCGCGAGCCCACGCGGGAGTCGCGTAATGCGCCAGCGGTTCCACCGGCGTGTTCAGATTCAACGGCTCCAGGGGCGCCTTGCTCGCCATGAAGTGCAACGGCGCCGACGTGGCCGTCACCGCCGCCGCCGAAGACGACGAGTTCTCGTGCTGAATCACCTCGACGCGCGCCTTCTTCGCCACCGGGTGAATCGGCGCGATACCTGCCGGCGGCGTAACCGCTTTCGTCGGGTAATGATGATGGTGGAGATGGTGCACCGGGTGTACGTGCTGGTGCACCGACGGGGAGGTCGGTCTCGTCGCCAACGGCGGCGATACGGACACTTTTACAACAGGGGAAGGCGACCTGGAGGCGCGCGTGCGTTGTTCCGGTTGTTGGTGCTGGCGTTCCGCGCTTCTGCTCAGGTCTTCCGGTTTCGTGCTGAGATTCTCGGGCTCGGGGATGTCGTCCATCACGACGTCGATGATTTCTTCTGAGGAGGAGAGAATATTTCGTTTTAAACGGGACGTTCTATCGTGTAGGAAAAGAATCGTGATAGGGGATCTTGTTAACTATGCGATGACTCGTCGAAAGTTCGAGTTTTACAATGATTATTCTCATTAGGAAGTCTAAGTTTAATTACGGAGCTTTCTTTTCTAAGAGCCAAGGGTATACGTGTTTCGCGTGGAAGATTCGAGACTCACCTTTGATCACTTCAGGAACTTCTTCGTTGGGCAGGACGTGCACCGGCCGCTTTTTCAGCGGACAGTGGCTGTAGCTGTTGTTCTTCTTCACGAAGCTGCGCGGCATTTCTTCGATTAGCATTCTGGTGCCTCTTCTTCGATAACTTCACTGTCACAAGGTACTTTAGTCGGCCCTTCGCCGGTACTCAACACCGCGAAGCCCGCTACCGCAGTAGTAATCCAATTGTTGCGGTTTAACGATTAATCAGTTTTCGTTTTTTTTCACATTGACCACAGTATCTCCTCTCAAGCGAAAAGTGCGTGTTGTGATATATATAAAAAAAAAACAGGAACTGTCAAGCAATCACGAGACGTCACTGCACTGTGTCGCACATAGTGTAAATAAAATATAGTCCTCCTCGAGTTCGTCGATGATATTTCACAATGTCGCAGCGTGCACTGAACGATCCTCGAAAAATCGATGCTCACGGTACGCTCGTCGGAACCGAACTGACGCTGTTCGAGCGGGGTTAACAGGAAACAAACAGGGGAGTCGCGGTAAACGTCGAAGGTTAGAAGGGAACGTACTGCGTATCTCGTAGCTCTGAAAACGGTTCGGCTGCAGGCCGGTCTCTGACTGGCAGGGGGGTGCGCCTGGGCCTTTTATAAGAGGTCACCCCACCGGCCAGGTGCAGGTGGCCCGCACGTGCTGCCCGACCAATGCAGGCCCGCGGGCCCCGCGCTGCTCGCCAATAGGGGACGCCCGGTCGCGGGCCATCGTCCAATAGGAGCCCGGGCATCTGTTCCGCCGGCTCGCGTATCCCCCTCCCTCGGTCAGCGTGCAACAACAGGAGGTGCAGGATGTTCGTGAGTGCGACGCGATTATCCTGCCGCGCTCCTCTTTGCGCTGCCTTCTCTCTCCCTCCCACCTTTTCACTCCCCTTTTTTCTCTCCACTATCCCCCTTTTGCGACAGCGTTCTCGCTCCCGCTTTCCACGGCCGTCCTCGTCTTCGTGCTCTGTTACACCGTGCGTTGCGTTGTTGCACGGAGCAGATGCTGGGGCCCCTCCGTAACGCTCGCCCTCCCCGCCGACCCGTAGCCAACCCTAGCCGCTCGACACGAGGCCCAACGACCCGTCACCTCTGCCGTCGTCGGTGCACATGCACCACCGATTCGTGAACACGGTTTTCTCTCTCTCTCCTCCATTATTCGTGTGTACGTAAGTACGTTTAGATGGCGGAGGGGCACGGGACGCATTTTTCTATTCGAATTTCCGTTCGGTCTACCTGAACTCCGCGTCCCCCTCTCTCTTTCTCCGAGTCGCTCGTCCGACGTGTTGGTGCGCACGCTCGAGTGTGTCGTATTGGCTGCTACGCCGTTTTTTTTTTCCTCTTCTTTTTTTTTATTATTATTTCTACGCGTCAGCCGCCTTTTCGCGTGTGCACGGACGCTGGATGTGCATCCGTGTGTCGCCGTTCCTATCCGTGACCGGCTGCGCGCGCGCACGTACGAGGGCACCGCAATCCGTCCAGTTCCCCTTCTGAATTTCACCCCCGGTCCCTTTCTCGCCTCCCCGCCACTGGCAGTTTCGAACGTAACGGTCGTGTCGCGTGCCACAGCATCGCCCACGCGTGCTGGAACCCACACACACACACAACCGCCCGCTCGTGCTCGTGAGCGCACGGGTATCGTGCTCGCACTCCCCCTAGAATCCTCGCGCGCTGCATCCACCAACCCGTGCCATTTTTTGCTCGTCGGGGGTGGAGGAACGATCCGCGATCCATTAACCCCTTGCGCCCCAACAACGATCCTCTCGAAAGTGGAAATTTTCTGTACATTTAATCATTGTATGAATAATCGTGCGCCAGGACTTTCTGTGTTTCATACAGTTCTTGCAATGTTACAAAATCACTTTGAATCTTCATTCCTTGGTTAATTTGCTTTTTTGAAATATAAATTTAGAGGAGAAATACGAAGCGTTCTGTCAAGAAATTATATAAAATTTGAGCGATTGTCGAGGACGTTTCTAGGAATAAAGCCAGAAACCGCGTTTCTTCGTCGGGTTTCCCAAAGGTAACGGGCGTCGTCAAACCGCCAGGAATGCTCGTTTCGACGTTTGCTCCTGAACATGTGATCGGTAGTTTCTTTGTGTTCCTGAGTACGAAAAGGGAAACGTTGACCTTGTCCCCCCGGGGAATTACGTTCCGTGTAATTGAACTTCCAAGTTCGAATTTCGACCTGGCCTCGGCGGTCCGTTTGCCCCGAAACCTGGTCGAAATGTAATTTTGTCGAGCACACGCGACGTTCGGGAGGCGTATCGTGGCAATAAAAAAAAAAAATCACGATCGTTGCGCGTTGGAATCGCGTTTGTCGTTCCGAAAACGTCGACGCGCGTAAGGTTAGGCGGACGTAGGAGAACCGACACGCCGTGGACTTGCCGGTTAATTTACGAGACAAAGGAGCACTCGGGCATTCCGCTCGATCGATTTTCCGTTTCATTCCACGATGTGTCACTGGCGCTAAATCAGGTTATCACCGCGCGACGGGATCGTTCGAATCGATTGAGAAACGATAAACCGTGGCCCGAGACCGGTACCACTGCAACGCGAAGGGGAGGGGAACGATTTTTGATGAAGGACCCTTGTACTTGTCGTCGTAAACAGCTCGTTCGCGTAACACTTTATTCTTCGGGCTTGGTTCGCCGGCGATCATTCGTTCGGATTATTTCGTAATAAAGGAGCTCGACAGAATTTCGCGTCGCCATCTTTCTCGTAACGCGATACTCTCTTCGTCGAATTAGGCAGCTCTCAACATCCAATATTACAGTAATTACTAGGAAATTACCCCCGAGGTTCGGCGTGGAACCGATTCCTGGATCGAACCCAACTCCTCCGTCGGCGGACGCATTGTCCTACGTTGTGTAAGGACATAGTTCGCGTGTACGGACAACATAGTACTCCGCTGTTCGTGGGTGTCGATGAGATAAGCGGGACGACGAGGGAGCAACCGTGGACCCGAGAAAATGGAGCAACGCGGTCTCCGCGGTAGGAACAAGAACGTTCCAACGAGCGATTCGAATCGTTCAGGGCCGCTGCCCAACGTGGATAAATTCAAAGTTGAATTTCGATTCGTCGCTAAACGATCTGCTGTATTTCGACGAACGTTTCTCGTCGTCTGTTCCAGCTGGTCTCGCGTCCAGCAAAGGGTTGGAAACCATTTCGCATACCTGCTTCGCGGCCCGTACTTTATCAAAGCCGCAATCCTATTCCAGTCGTGGTGAATACGCGTCGGTCCTTAGCGGCGCGGAAGGGGTGATCGGGAGCCCGGTTCCAGCGCCACGATTCCTTCGTAATCCACCAGCCCCGGAGGACGATCCTACGGTTACACGATCTCTTTTTAACGCGGTCCCGCAACCTCGTGAAAGGATGAATCGGTGCACCGGTCGCGCGGGCAAAATAATCTACCTGCGCCTTGGTGCGCTATTTAAACGATCGCGTTAAGGCCGGGATATCTGTCTACGACGCTATCCCCCTTTTTTTCGGTACGGTTCGCGAACCGACGCAAAGGGAGAATAATAAAAGAACGACGTGAAACGAGACGGAAAAGAAGCACCGGAGGACCTGCCTCCCGGGCCGGTTATTCCGGTATCGCGAAACCGCCGGTTCCGGTAACGCATTCCGGCTACTTTCGTCCTTCTCGTTCCGTCGCGGTGTCAGCGAGAAGTGCTCCTAAATTATATCAAATACGAGGGACCCCGTCGACTCGCTTAGCCTTTCGGGGATGACGCTGTTGCGAGCCCCGAGGGTACAACCCCATCCCCGTCCTTCCTGTATTTCGAGTATTCGCAGGTTGCTCGAAAAATGCTAGTTTTTACGGGCGTTTACATCGGGGGACAGGTCCGCCGTACGAGTTTCGTTTACGAGTTTCGGGGCTACGCGCGGGAAATTCGTGAGACCAGATACTGTATTTTTCTTTCCTTTCGCGTAAGAGGACGTGTTTCGAAGGGTGCACCGCGAGGGATGCAACGAAAAATGCACAATACCAGTTGCGATGTTTCCAATTGTTGTTTGGCCGTTGCTCGATCGATAAAATTGTTATGCAGTCGATTTTTTGTTCCTCTGCGTGAAAACGGTATTTGCAAGACTGGATGTTCTATTCTTTGCTAATCGCTCGATTCCCACCGCATTTCGCTGCTAATAAAATAAAATTTCCAGAGTACGATAGAGTTTGCTCATTGAGATATCGATCAACGCTCACGTTACGAATCCTTCCGAAATGCTGGCCGTCGATTCGACCAAATTTTCTCCCCGGTCGGCCACGAAACCGTAAATTACACGGCACGGCGAAGGCAACGAAAGGTGTGACCGGTGGAGCCCTACAATACTGTCGAAAGCGCGACGTTAAATTCGAAACTTTTAACTAGTCCTCATATACATACGCATTCTACCGGTTGTGATTTCGTTCGGCCCAGAATAAATCTGTATAATTATTACGACCGTGCGTGTGTAACGGGTAGCTCCCCCCACCAGTCGAATGTAGCCCCATCGGAAGGAAGCTGGTTTATTTTTTTGTTGTGCCGCCTCGAGGAGCGAGGGACGCCCTGTAGCCTCACCTTTGAAACACCTGGCTATTACCGCTCGATGTTTTATACATACACGCGTGTCTGTGTTTGTGTGCCACCATATGCGACTGGCCCCACCGAGACTAGCTACGCGGACCCATTTTCGGGGCCTCGTGGATCCCTAGACATGTGCAAGGTATCCGGGGGAAGCGGGGACCCTGGTTTCTCATCTCAAACTGGTCGTCGGAACGCTGAATTTTCCGCGGATGAACGGCGGAATCCCCGTGACTTTTGCTCAGCGATCCTCGAAAACTATAGAGCCAATTATCCTAGTATGGAATACGTTCCTAATTTGGAAAATCGCAATATTAAAGCAATTATCGCAATACATAGTGCTATTGGCGATGCATGCAATCGATTACGAATTCCAAAGTAACACGTGTTTGTAAATAATATTATACATAATAAGGTAAGTGCATCAGCTTTCTGTTAGCTCGACTATTTCTTCAAATATAAATATAGTATTCGAGCAGTACGAGCCTAATATGGAAAATGAGGACCTCAGTAAAAAAAGTAAACA